GTATGTAAGCAGTTTTCGGGAAGAATAAACATTATTAAAGGGAAAATGTGAAAATCTAGAGTAATGGGCATAAATATGAGAATAGAACATCTTGATTAAACCAATCAAACTATTATTTGCCTCATACGAAGTTTCTTTATATAGCAATTAAAAATTCTTGTTTTCCTTTTTGAATGAGAAAATGTTTCTTGGTAATATATTTTTATCCTGTACAAATACATATGATGAACTCTTTAAAACTGGAATTTGAGAATGTTATTTCCTGTGAGTTACATTACATCACCATGGATTTTTAGTGGCTTTGAAGTGTTCCTTGCAAGCTTTCAATTGGTGGTTTCATGTTTTCTAAAATGGAGTCAGTCTATTTGTTTGATTTAGTCTCCTCTTTTTTTTCTCTGGATAGACTTTTATCAATTTGTTATTTATGAGTTGTGTAATTATGCTTGTTAAATGCTTTGACATATTTTTCCAGGGATTGTGTTATGTTTTAGTTTTGCATATTTCAGTGAATTGGCAAGGGAGCTGAGATCACTAGAGTCTATTCAGATGCTTTCATCTAGGACCAGCTTGTTGTTGATTTGGATTTGTGTGCCCAAGTTTTGCTTTTGTCATATTTGTGCAACTTTGCTAGAGCTAATATTGTTCTTCCAGTCTAATTAAGAAGAATATTTGCCCAGTGAACATTTCTAAAAGCAGATCAGAAATCTGACCTTTTAAAAGCAACTTTTTAATCTTATAATGAGAAACTTATCAGTGGAAGTAGCTTCTAGAAATAAACAGTGGAGAATAAATTGATAATCCAGAAAATTCCTCTACTGAAGTGATTGTCCAGTGTCTGTGGAGCCTGGGAGGATGGTGACATTCACCCTTGCACAGAAATAAGTAAATGTAGGCTATTGATATACTTGCTTATCTGCACTGGAATGTTGCAGAGAAATATGGTCTGGTCAAAAATCAGGAAATTTCTGACACGGTGGCATATCATGGAAGTAACATAGGCATAAAACTCTCTATATTTCTACTGAGGAGTTGGAATCTTGTCAGTGTGGGCCAGGTCATTGTGTTGGATACCCAGCTCCAGACAGCTTTGCCTTCAGGTCAGTTAACTGAGTGCTCCAAGTTTCTGTGGTGTGATCTTAAAATTACACATTTCCTGTAGGGGAGAAGGGTCTTTCTTACACTTAAAAGCAGACCTTGTACCAGTGAATGGCATTTATTTGGCATTAACACACATAAATCAAATTGTTTTATAATTTGGCTATGATTTCAGCTTTTAGCAGTCAACAAAGTGGCCTTTCACAAATGCTGTTATCTTTTTTTACTTGTCCCCACGACACTGTAGAATTGGAATAAGCACTCTTCCTGCTGTTAACGTGGATTGCTAATGTTATGTTCAGTTCTATGACAAGTGCAATTTTAACAGAATATATTTTAATGAACTTCTGCTTAGAACAAGTCTGAATTTTTGTCATACGTAAGGAAGGATACTTCACACCTTTTAGTGAAGTTGTCTTATATGTTTAATGTGCCAACATGTGTCAGTGATATTTCTTCATTGTGAAACCTGAAACCAATGTTTTACATGTGGAAGAGTATCTTTTTGTTATTGCTTCTTCAACTGATTATCATTCCCTGGAGTTAAAAAAAAAAAAAAAAAAAAGTATTAAAAGAGGATTCTCTTTTTATTCACATTGATTAATTCAACATACCTATCTAGGAATATCTAGGAAAGTACTGAGTTCCAGTCAGAGATCTCAATTTCTATTTTATAGCATCCAAGAAACACTCTAAAGACTCATAATCCTAACTCTGAAAATGTTACTGAGTTATGTTCAGAGATCCGAGATGTTGCAAAATTTGCTTTTAAGAGTTTTGTTCAGTAAACAGTATTTTGTTGTAGTTTCTCCACCTTTTTCGTGTATCAATCTGTCAGAATGCTGCCAGCAGATGGTACCTTTTCCACCAAAAGTACCATCTAAAGTGTTGAAATTCTTCATGGAGAAGCCACAGCTCTAAGAAAGAGGCAAAGAGAAAAGGGGCATTAGGTAAGAGAATGACGACACTCACTTTTAAAAACTTCTAGTTTCTATGAGAAACTAGAAATTGAGAAGCGAATCTAGGAGGAAAAATTATTCACAAGCGTATGTTTGAAACAGCTGTAGCGTATGTTGCCATCCCAGCCTTAGTGCTACCTTTAAAACAGCTCACACAGATGGAGGACCTGGCAGTACTACCAATAATTAATTCCCTATCATTGTCATATAGTTTGCTTTAATCAATTTATACTTACTGACCTGAAGATGGGTTTTCCACTTGCAGAAGTAGTAAATGATATTGCCAAATATGCCTGTGCTTTTGGTTACTATTTACTGCTGAAGGAACTAGAATTTCATTTAGAAGTAACTTGATAGACAAAGCCTAAAATCTCACCAAAAGTACGCGAGGACGATTTTTGTAAGCTTTGTTTTATTTTCTTATTATATATGTTTTCAGCCTAAAAAGTAGTTGCATGAGTGGGAGCTGCCATGATCCTCTTAACAATGTGCTTTATTTTTATTTTAGCTTTTAAAAAGACTTACTGGGTAGCAAAAGGTTTTGTGTGATTAATTCATAAACTGCCTGAGCTACAGTCATTACAGTTTGAGGTTTTGCTTCTGTTAAACAGCCCTATTGTTTGTGCTAGCTTCTGGTTTCACAATTAACCTCCTTGCATGATGTCTCATCCTTTTACACATTCTTTATTTTTTATACCTGATTTCTTTTTTCACTTAAATTGAAATGGATCTGTTTATGAGTTGAGAGTAAGTTTTAATGGCAGCATAATGACAACTGCTGGCATGTTAGCTGGAGTGGGCACTCCCTTTCTTCCCATAAATAGGAACCATTTTATAAATGGGAACTGTTTTGCCTACTGCTTGAACACTGTATTTGAATGCGTTTACTTTTAAGATGTTTATATTGACCAAATGTTCTTGATATCACTGAAAATTTGTTCCTTTAAAGCTTCCAGATTTTTGATGAGATATCATTTTGTACATCTGAGAATAACATAGTATCTTCGTTTAAGAGAATAACAAGCTTTTTGTGTTGTGCAATTAACTGCTTGTGGAATAAATTCAGGAAATTCTGTTTCTGATGTTGGGACTATGGATGAGGGACTTCATAGACATTTACATACTGAGCATGTAAAAGGGAAAACAACAGTTCTACATTATGTGATGTGAATGTCCTAGTATCATTGCATGAGGAAAACATCTTTGATCTGAGCCTTTAGATGCGAAGACTTCATAGTGAATTGAAAGAATAGACTGCAGTTAAAATTCCTTGTTGATTTCAGAGTTCTCAGGGGGTTAAGAAATGAACACATGTTTTGTGTTAAATATTTGCAGAACCATGAGCTCCAATAAAATTAAAGTTTAAGCCAGCTAGTGCAAAAACGAAAATCTGGATGAGGAAATTAGGAAAATAAAGAGTTTAGATATGTGAAATCAGCTATTCTGAACCACAAGAATCTTAATTGCTGTAAAAACATAGAGTTCTTAGTTGGAAGCATGGAACAGAAATTGACTTAATTGTTTACCTGAGGTAGTTTTGCCATTAAAATTTCCACGTACAACAACGGGATTTCTAAATGAATGTTTTATTGACTAATGGCTGAATTCTTCCCTTTAAAGTGATAATTTTCTTTTCGATCAAAGCAAAATAGGAGTTGGCCTTTAGAGTTCTCCTTGTTTTTTCTTCCTTTCTTTTTTTTCTTGTTTAATCTGATGTTGTGAAATCAGTTTATGGCTTACTCAGGTATGGTTCTAACATCTCAAATATTAAAAAACGCCAGTTGAATGAGAGAGAAATCTGTCATTTGTCTGACTTTTCCTTGATTTGTCTGTTACTGGCTCATGTTTACTGGTGGTGGGATGTGTATGAGTAAAGAAATACTCATCCAACCACCTGTAACTTATTTCATGTCCTTGACATTTAACTGAGAATTTATTTCTAGAGAAGTGTAACAACTGTCCTTTCTCCTTGAAAAATTCTTTTTGAAAAAAATCACTTGAATTTTCTAATGAATACATTAATTTGTAAAAATTAATAATAAATGCTTAATGCTTGGTCTCGCCTTTCATTTCTATAGTGTGTACTCTTGGTGCATCTTCCTGAAGGCTAATATGTGTGGGAGGAAGTGCTTTGTGTCAGAAAGATTAAAATTGAGGATAATAGACCACATGTGGCCTATTTAAACCCATTTACTCAGCTTATTCCCCAAAGCATCCTGTGAGCCAAATCAGTTATTCTGATGGGGACAGAAGCAGGAACCTGCTTCCAAACCACTGTTGGGTGGTTGACCATGCCTAGTGCTGGTGCTCTGCATTGACTTGCTGTGCAATATGAGTTTAGCTGCCCTTCGTTTTTCTGTTTTCCAGTTTTTTACACTCTGACTCTTATATCTGTCTCATTGCTGAGGAAAAACCAAGACCTGGACTTGACACAAAACACTACTGTCTTTCTCAGATCTGCAAGACAAGTCTGCAAACCTAAGAACTGCAGCATTAGAAATAGTATTTGTGTGTCAGTTTCTCTTAGGAATTGTTTTTATCTTGAGATGTTTTAACAAAAAGGTTATTGCAATATCTGAAATCTCAGTTTTGGCCAATATCTTCTAATTCTGTTCTGCAAAATTAAGTAGTGTTGATCAATTAGAAAGTGAAATGGTTGGTTGATAACTGTTCACTGTAGTGTATGTTGAAGGATGGATATATGTTTTACCACTGTTTTTCTTCAATTTTTAATGAATGTTCATTTTAAAAATATTCCACAGTAAATCTCAATTTCTTCTCAGACTTCAATACTTAGGAAAAATCTCTTGCTGTAGTCTCATGAAAATTGAGGCGCCTATACTGCTGGAGGAGGTTTGATAAAAACTGAATTTTATTTTTGAAGAATATCACTTAAACATTTATTTTGTAGGTCATCAATAGTTCTTATTAAAATTTGCCCTTATTTTGTCTGCAATAGAGTTAATTTTATTCATAGCAGTTGGTACAGTGTTATTTTGGATTTGTGACCCAAACAGAACTGATGAGACACTGCTTCAGAGCAGTGCTTGCACAGAGCCAAGAAATTTCCTGCTCCTCCTGCTGCCCTGCCAGCAAGGGGCTGATGGTACAAGGGGCTGGGAGGGGACAAACAGGACAGCTGACTCAGACTAACCGAGAGGGTGTCCCATACCACATGGTGTTGTGCTCAGCAATAGCAGCTGGGGGTAAGAAGGAGGAATGCAGGATGCTGAGGTGATGGAGTTTGACTTCTCCAGAAACCATTATGCATGATGAGCCTTCCTTTCCTGGGAGAGGCTGAACATCTGCCTGCTGATGGAAAGGGATGAATGAATTTCTTGTTTTGCTTTGCTTGCATGTGCAGCTTTTGCTATACCTAGTAAACTGTCTTTATCTTCAGGAGTTTTCTTTTGCCCTTCTGATTCTTTTCCCTATCTATCCCACTGGATAAGGGAAGCAAGTTGCTATGTGGGGCTTAGCTGTCCATTGGGGTTAGCTCACAACAAAAGTAGGCATGTTAGGAATATAGGAATGCAGAAGACATACTTCAATCTGTGTCACCATGCATGAACTTAACAGATGGAAGTTCACTTAAATACTGTTTGGAGTAACAGCATGTGATTAATCTTAAAAGTGCATTCTGTAAAGCTTATAACTTGGAAAATTAACCCTATACATAGTTGTAATATTGTCAGAACAAAGTTTTAACTTACTGACTGAAATGATCCTCTACCATGTTCAGCATTTAAAAGGTTTCAGCTAGGGTTGTGTCATCAGTTACAGTATAGTCACCTTCATCCACAATGCAGTATTCCATTCAAATTCTGCACTAATGTAACAATTTAAACAAGTAATGTTTAAAAGAAAGACAGTGAATACTGTCTTTCTAGATCTGTTTTGACTCCAGCCTCCTCAGTGTAAGGACAACACTAATTTTCATGTGTTGTGTACTAGCTAAAGTCCACCATTGCCAGTAAACTAATGATTCCCTTAGGTAAAAATGGTGCCCTTTCCAGAGCATTTGACTCAACAGATGTGAATCCAATTTATCAGTCGCAAACTGGAAACTGTTAAGTGTAAGCTCTCTTGGTTTGATGGCAAATGCTGGCTCAGAAGCTCTATGTGAAAGCAGCAGAATTTTCTTGTTAGGGATTTTGATACATAATCTCATTGGCTTCAGGTAATCTATGACGACCTAATACAGATAATCCAGGTACACCAGATGCTGTTCATCATAGTGATCCATGTTGTTCTTGTTCCAAGTACCTGAATAGTAATACTAAGGATTAGAACAGTCTATTTGCTCTGTGTTGGAGCAATGTCTGATGGCAGCGCCTGGCTTGCTGTCTGACATGGGTAGGCAGTCCTGAAAGATAAATAAAGAAATGGGTCACTCTTGAGAGTGTAGTAACAGACTTTGCAGAAGAAACAGTGATTGCTGTGAATTCCATCTAAAACTGCACTCCTTAGGACCTGCTTTAGTTAGACTTCCTGTGACAGGTTTGGAATTCCTCATTCTAAATATAGGGAGTAACAGGAATGCCATGTAAAGGTAAATACAACTTTTCAGAAAAGTCAGTTTTATGAGGATTTTTACACATGAGCTTTCTTCCAAATCAATAAGGGTGCCAATCTGTACATAGTGTCATACATACTTAAGGGAAAAAATGTAATTTGTCTGTAGAATGCCAAGTAAATTGCCAGATGTGTCCAGCTATCACAGCAAAAATGTACTAAATGACTCTTTCAATTCACACTTGGAAAATGTAAATCAATACCAGAAGTACATCTGTTCCCTATATTTAATTCTTATGTCTGTGAAGAACAAGAGAAGTTATAGTTTGCAGGAAAAACATCCTAAACTATCCAGATAGCACTTCAGTCTGCTGTGTGCTCTGCCCCCCAGCTTGGGTTGCACCTGCAGTGGAAATGAAGTTGGAGATGTTTTTTTATTGCTGCATTGGTGCATGGTTTGAAATCCTTATTTACAGGATGCAATGAAAGAGAAGAAGATTGAGATGAGATTGCTACTTGAGGAGATGAATAAGATGTGGTGGTGGCAACTCACAGGCCAAATTTTGTATGTGGTGTGGGGGAGACATCTGTGAAGGAGTTTCATCCCCAGACCAGCTCTGGCTTCTGCTGTATCTTGAAGAATGAGAATTATGAAACAACTTCCTTAGTTTTTTGTTTATTCTGTGCTTTTTGCTAATCTGTGAAGATATTCAACTTCCTAATCATGAAATACTGGTAGAATTTCTTTTTGTGACTTCAAGGCAAACTCACGTTAGGCACTGGGGAAATAAAGCAAGTCAACTAGCAGCTATATAGAACAGCCAAAAGTAGTAACTGGACTGAGCCATAAATAGCAGTTACCATGCTGCCCACTTCATGTGCGTCTCTAAAGAGGGGTAGTTGGTTTGATTCTGCTTTATTCTGGGTGGCAGAATTTAGCTCTGCCAATGCAATTTGGATTTCTGGAGGAATCTGCAATATGGATGTTTGTTTCCTGCATGCACAACCCTGAGATGGTTCTTATCTCTGTTCATCTGATGTATTTACATGAGAATTGTTCATGTTCACTGCTCCTTTGACAAACAACCTCATATCACCACTTAGACAATTGATGAGCTATCTTTGCCTTCTTCCTTTTCTATGGTAGCCATTTTTTCTATGGCTATGACCAAAATCAAATGGACCATGTACCGTGTCCTTAGTCATGAAGCTGAGGTGTGTCAAAGCATATACATGAAAGCATAATTAACTGCAATCCTGGTATCTGGCAAGAGTTAAAGCTTGATACCAATACTTCGGTTTGACTGTTGAACTGATTTGTCCATTATACTCAATGGCTTGGTTTTGGAAAACTGCTTTTACTTTTTAATGAAAGAGAGACAAGTTTCAAATTGAACTGTGGTCCTATCTGATGAAAGATCAAGATGATATTCCAGAATGCAAAAAGTAGGAAATGAGATGTAAAAATACATGTAATCAATCAAAGAATGAATAAAAGCTGATGAATATAAGTAGCTCAAGTAGTACAATGTGGAGCTTGTTACAAGAATTACTGAAGTAACACCTATAAACTCTTGACACTAAAATAAAGTGAGTTTTTTTTCTAGCACAAGCTGCTATTCCTTACGCCTTTCTTTTTCTGAGAATTTTTCTACTTGGCAAACATATTTAAGTTGAAGTCTGTTCTCTTACCCTGATTTTCAGGTAATTCAAATCTACTTTGTGGGGAGGAAGTAGGGATTTTACTGCATTACTGAACTTACCACATTATTGCATTATTGTATTGTTTTATAAACTGAAATTATTTACAGCAGTGCTTTCCCTATAACCTGGGTTTGATGCACTTCATAAAGCATGACATCACTGTCTCCTATTGTTACCTAAAGTTAAAAAATAAGGAAGAGGAGCAGACGTAGTTAACAGCACATTCAGTCAGTGGATTCTCAGGTGGTATTAGGATAATCATGGCTGTTCTTGGAGAGTTTCAGCTTTTGTGAACCCGCACAAGCCCTACTGTTTGCTCATGGAAGGAAAGAGCTGTGTCTCCATGTGCTTGCACTTCAGGATGGTCTCATCTGTTCTGCTTCCTTCTGTAGTGAGGAGACAAACACTGTATCTGGATTGGGCATATACTCTTTAGATAGTTTTATCAGGCAGTCAATAGCAGTATGCTGTGAAATGTGCTTTAGCCAGCTAAAGTGTCCCTTTCTCTAAAGCAGGTTGTTACCTACTCCATGCTAGCTCATGTTCTTAGCTGTACTTGTCTAACTCACACTGAATGGGAAATCTCAAATTAAATGCTTAAATCTTGGAGTTCTTTCAGATCTTTGTGTGCTTGTGTGGTTGCCTGGACACTCTTGAGCTAACATCCGTATCAGTTGACAATGAATGGGTCAGCCAACTGTGAAACCTATAAAACTGGGTCAAGAATAGTTCTGCCCAGCAAGAGGAAGCCAAAGGAAATAATCTTTTCCCTTGGCTATTCATTTTCATATAAATGCGCAGCATATTGTAACAGATTCATGAAGGGTAGAATCAAAGCATGTATGAGGAAATATAATGATTATTAAAACAGGAAAAAATTATTGATATTGGAACAGTTTTTGCTGCTTTTACAGCAAAAGCTGAACTGATCTTGAAGTTATCTGGCAGTATGTGAATGCCAATCCATTTATTTGTATTCATGCTCTAGCTATAGTCACATGAACATATTTTTGATGAATACAATGGAAAATATTACAACTATTTTGAAACTACATGAGCTCACATATGTTCTGGGATATTAACTTGGCACATTCTCTTGTGGTTGCTTTGTAAAATATGTCCCTTTCATGGCTGTCTCTATGTTGGGCATAAGAGCATTTGTGCTAAGGACATACATAGCTAACTTCCTACTTTGTACAAAGGCTCATCAAGGCAGTACTTTTTGCTTATGTCCATGCAACATGCACCACAGTGAGTGTTCTTGTTTTGTCCACAGATACAGAAATAAAAAACAATAATTGAAATATAAATGGAAGAGTGGAGTAAACGTGACTGTGGATGTGTTCTTGAAGTAGATTTTTTTTCTTCAAAAGAAGTTCCCAGCAAGCAAAGAGAAATAGTTTGGATTGTGGTGAGCGTGTATGTTATTACTGTTCTTTAATAGATGCTTTAGATTTCTGTAACATCAACACTTTCAATGCTTGTCTAATCCTGACAAGAAGGAGTACTTTGGCCTTTTTCACGTGTTTGGAGTAGGCCTGCTCTCAGCCCTGCCAGTGTGCATCAGGGAACTTGTATTTGTTAGTCATAAATATAAATTATAAGTACTTGTTTATGGTTCTCTTCATATGATCATCCAATTTCACAACAATTAACTGCCACCAGGAGGAGGGACTTTTAATCTTTACTTTGCAAATATTAATAAGCTGCAACATTACTTCTATAATTATCACCATAAAAACATGAGACTATTCTTGTGATTAAAAGTTAACAGTTTTCTCCACTTCTTCCCTGGGTATCAGATGTTCTACAGGCACAAAGTCTAATTCAGCAATTATGGAGGCATTCAGCTGCTTAGGGTGTGACTGATATTACTACTGAGTTGAATATGCTTCAGTAATGAATGTATAGTCATCAAGATGTCATAAATGTTTTCACAGAGATACCTCAATTTGTCATAGATAATACTGAATTTGTGTTCTGATGCTTGGATTTAGCATTGATAATGTCACCTATTTTTAATATGTGCAGTGTATTGGCTATTAAGTATTTAAAGGATTTTTATGATGTGTCTGATTCAGTTTATTGACATTGCTGATCTTTCTGGCTGCTTCACTGGAATGGTAACTGAATTTGTGAGCTGTAAGATTACATTGCTTTACAGAATTGTACTGTAGTTTGCTGTGAACTTGTTGCTGATGGGTGGATTAAAAATTATTTAATGTGTTTGGGAGGATAGAAGAGAGAAGATATGAAAATGGTGTTGTGGGCACAAATGGAGATTTACATCTAAGATTTTCCCTCCTTCCCTGTCTCCTCCAAAGCTTAAGGAAATAAATATCTGAATAATTTTACTTCAAATACTTTTTTGTTAGATTGCCCTAAATCCAGTATGATGGACGATCCCATAAAGATAACAGTGAAAATAGTCCTTCCTGCTGCACAGGAATGTGTACACCTGGATTTAGCCCCAGCTTTGAGGAGTGAATGGGACTCTGGCACAGTGGAAAACAAGTCTCTGGTGTCTGCAATATTATCTCATCCATATCATAATGACTCTCCTTGCCTCTCAAATCTCTGTATCTCTAAGTGGGGGTTGGAAGAGCAAAGTTCTTCCTGTTGTAAACTAAGAGCAGCAGGCTCAGAGCTGGAGCTCCATCAAAGAAAGATTTAGAAGTCAGGCTTGTTCAACCTAATGGGGAAGAGGCTCTGGGAAAGCCTCAGTGTGGCCTTCCAGTACTCAAAGGGAGCTTATGAAATGGAAATAGACTGACTTTTTACATGGTTTAATAGTGATAGGTCAAGGGAAAATACTGGGAAAAAGGAGGTTTAGATTAGATGTTAGGAAGAAATTTTTCACTGAGGGCAGTGAGGCTCTGGCACAGCTGCCCAGAGAATCTGTGGTCCCTCTTCCCTGCAGGTGCTCAAGGCCAGGTTGGATGGGGCCCTGGGCATCTGAGCTGCTGGGGGGCAGCCCTGCTTACAGCACAGGGTGGGACTGGGTGGGCTTTGAGGTCCATTCCAACCCACATTTTTCTGTGATTCGTTTGTGAATCTAATTTCATTATTGGTGGTCAGATGCCTTTTACATCAGAGTGTAATTCCTTTCTATTCTTTAGGAATGTGTTGGCTTCTTGGACTTTGATGAAATATGAATCTACATCTATCGCAAGTACCCCAAAGTTCCTTTCATTTAATGAACAAATTTCTCATTTCACTTCATTTTCACTATAAATCAGAGTATAAAATTCTACGGAGTAGTCTGAAGGTTTTTTTTTTTGAAGTTGGTAGAAAGAATATACCTTAAAGCTTCTATAATGACATCTAACTAGCTTGTGCAGCCACAGGCAGTCACCTTGGGGAGTGATGCAGAAGAGAGATGTATAGCGTTCCACTTCGTAAATTAAGAATGAAGCATTGTACAGTCCTTCAGAGTTCACAGTCAATTACCACAAACACTTATTTGGATCTGGCTGTGCCCCCAAAGCAACTCGCTGCATTTCTCCAAGAGCATGGCACGCTGCTGGGCCTCTTAACTGTACCGTGTGCAGGAGAGCTCCAGTCATTGGGTAGGGTAGGGCTGGGTGCAGTTTACTTCCTTACTTCCAGTTGTTCCTAGTACAGTGTTTGCTCACCTCTGCAGCTAAAATGTCATTAAGCTTTGGCACTAATTAATGTAAAATAGTTTATTTTTAATTCTTGCAGAAACAAGATGTTTGTTTTTTTGGAGTCCAGAAGAGAGGAAATGCTTTTTCATTTCAATGCACTTCTCAGGGCTCTTCTAACTCCCTAATGTGAGTGACATATCTTGATGTTGCCTGGTGAATACTAGTCCCCAAATCAATGAATGTGGTTTAGGAGATGTTTCCTCTCTGAAGTGAGTGTATGCCTATCTTGAAAAGAATGAATAATTCACATGATCGAGTAAGCAACAGTAAATCTTCATCTGAACACCTTCAAAATTGATATATTTAAATGAACTGCCCTTATAAATAACCTTTTACCCAAAGCTGGAATTATTTTATATCCTAAGAGCTGTAGGAGTCTGAATGTCACAAATAATATGAATAAACTTTTCTCTTGGGTTCTCCTGGAAATTCTTTTTTGTAAATAATACTGAAATACTGGTATAAAAATTAAAAAAAAAATAGACTCACAGAATTACCAAGTTTGGAAAAGACCTCCAAAATAATCCACTCCAGCTATCCACTTATCCAGTATTTTTCCCTAAGCCATGTCCCTCAGTACAACATCTAAACATTTCTTGAGCACCTCCAGATTCAGTGATTCCAGCACCTTCCTGAGCAGCCTGTTCCAGTTCCTGATCACTCTTTCAGAGATGTTTTACCTGAAGCCCAACCTGAAGTTTATTCTGCTCCCTGAGACTTCCAGATGAGAAGGTAGAGTACCCCAAGGATAGCTGGTTTCACTTTTAAAGACAAAAGTAAAGGAGGCATTGAGAACTTCAACCTCTTCCTTATCCTCAGTGGTCACATTCCCTGCTGCATTTGGTGAAGTATGGTGATTCTCCTTAGTCCTCTTCGTACTGTTAATGTATCTGTCAAAAGTTTTTGTCCTCTTTTATCCCAGTGGTCAAGTTGAGTTCAAGGTGGGCTTTTACCTTTCTAATTTTCTCCCTGTACATAGTAACAATTTCTTTATTCTCCCTAAGTTGACTGCCCCTTCTTCCACAGGAGGTAGATTCTCTTTTTCTCCTTAGAACCTCAGGCAAAGCTCCCTGTTCATCCCAAGAAACCCTCCCTACCAGTGTCCTGAACAGTTCAAAGTCTGCCCTCCAGAAGTCCAAGGTAGCAGTTTTGATGGTGCCCCTCCTGACATCACCAAGAATCCAGAACTCTACCATTTTGTGGTCACTGTGTCCTAGGCAGCTCCTCATCTCCACTTCTCCTGCCAGTCCTTCTCTGTGAACAGCAAGGCTAGTGGGGCACCTCCAGTTGTAGGCTTTCTTACCAGCTGCATCGGTAAGTTAGCTTCAACATGCTCTAGAAACCTACTAGACTGTTTATTCTGTGCTGTATTGTATTTCCAACATATATGAGGGAAGTTGAAGTCCCCTATGAGAACAAGGGCTGTCAATTGCGCAACTTCTGCCAGCTGCTCCTAGAATACCTCATCTGTCTCTTTATCCTGATCAGGTGGTCTATAACAGACTCCCATCATAATGTCTACCTTGTTGGCCCTCCCCTAATCCTTAACCATAGAGATTCAACCTTACCATTCCCAGTCTCAAGCTCGACAACATCAAAGCACTCCCTTACATAGAAAGCCATGCCACCACCTTCCCTTCCTTGACTCTCCCTTCTGAAGACCTTATAGCCATTCACTGCAGCACACTAGTCCTAAGAGTTATCCCACCATGTTTCTGTAATAGCAATTAAGGCATAGTTTGTCTGCTTTGCAGTGGCTTCCAGCTCCTCCTGTTTGTTGCCCATGTTGCATGCATTGGTGTAGATGCACTTCAGCTGAGCCCCTTGCCTCACCCCCTAATCCCATCATCATTCCCCTACACTCAACTCTAGCAGGCGATATTGACCATAATAGACTAATCTGGCTTTGTTACCTAATCTATTTCTTATATCATATCTTGGCCAAACTTCCTTTGAGAACTTATACGTAGCGGCATGCATTGGTCAGTCTTTACTGCTTTTTGAAATAATTATGCATTATTCCTAGCTCTGAGTTAGTTGAATATGCTATAGTTTAATTTAATACATAGTTATTTAGGGAAATGACATTTTTTCCATGGTGCCCTCAACCATACATATTCTGGAGGCATGAAGGAAACAACATATATTTTTAATGTTACATTGTAGATCTCTTGATCACGTATTTCTGTAGACAGGGTCTACATGTGAAGTCCAATTACAAGGTTTGATTAAAGGTGTGCTCTCCTGGTAAAAGGAAGAAATAAAACTGAAGAGATGCACACAAAATGAATTTAGGGCTGCCATACCTGAATATCTTTAGTTCGTTAATATATATATATGTATTTTATTCCTCTCTTGGGGAGAAAGAGGGCTTTGGGAAACAACTTAGGGCTGGTGAATGTCTTCCAGCCTGAGCAGAAGCAGTAACAGTAGCACTATCTGTGAAATGACTGGAAGTCTGCCACATCCACCCTGCCTAAGCTTGTAAATATTACAAGCTTGCTTGTCACAAGAATGATGTGGCCAGTCTGTATGTACACTGGTATGCAGGTCTAATATTAACAGTGCTAATATTTCTGTCTGGGAAATCCTCTTCAGAAACTGGAAAACCTTCCTGGGGAGGTCAGAAAGCTGAATGAGCAGGGCACTAGGCTATGACTCAGGAGATCCATTTGGCTTTGCTACCAGCTCTGTGATGCTGGAAAAGTCCCTTTATTTCCAGATGCATTAGTTTCCTGACTTCAGTAGTTTGGATAACAATAGTGATTCTTTTTTTCCCAAACTCTCATCTATGGACAAAACTGTTCCACTAGAGCTAAATATGTCTGCTGCGTTTAATGTATATTTCTAACTGAAATAACTATTCTGCCATTAGAAATCGAAGGTAGCATCAACCTATGCCACTATTGTGGCATTAAATAGGAAATAACAGAAATAACAGCCAGGATGGTGAGCGCAATTTAAAAGAGTTCTTTACAGGACTGGAGTAAGTCTGCTGATAACCATAGGGTTGATCAAGTATAAGACACGCTGCTGAAAATGTTAGCAAGTATGGATGATGTTATTATAATTTCAGAAAAAGAGTGGAGAACTGGTTCACTTTAAAGAAAAAGAAATCACGTTCAGCCAGAGACAAAATACAGAGAGATGTATTTTCCATCAGCTCCTTATGCTATTGACTGCTTTGGGATAAAAGAAACAGAGTTACAACAGAAATTAAAATGCTGTGTTATCCTATTTCTGTGAATGCTTTTGTTCAGCGTGTGCAAACCCATTTCTTGCAATACCGAAATATCAAGACAGAAAAAAATGAGAGACTTAACTTTCCCATCTATCCTCTTTCATGACAAACCTAGGGTTTAGCTGGTTGCTAGAAACCTCTCGATGTGCTATATCCTTGGAGTTTCAGCATAAAATTATTCAAGTAAGGGCAAGTTTAATTGCTATTTCTGATGGAAGATTAACCAGGAGACTGGCAGACATAAGCGATTTTTCAAGTATCAGAATTTGGGTTTTTTGAGGATGGAAATTGCATACTTTGCAGCATGGTTCAATTCTGCTCCTTCTCTCCTCCCTGACAGTATATGCAGTGAGGTGTGATGTTAATATACATGTACAGAAACTGACTTATTAATGGCTCATTTGTTTTAAAATAAAGTCATGGCAAACCTGTATTCAGAGGCTTAGATGTTGTGTACTGAGGGATAATTTTTGGTTTAAATGGTTTAATGGAGTGATGTAAAGAAGTATGAGAGGAAAGATGGCAAATGAAGGAAGCAGTGAGACTGTAAATGGTACCAAAAAAGCCGCACTGTTCTTGTGCTCCAAGGCTGTGCTTTATCTGTCCCCTTAAAGAAAGATTTGTGGCCAAGGATGAAGAACTTGGCTTTCTCAATAGAAAGCTACAGCAATATCTGTCCACTACCAAGACAATTACTTTTTACTGGAAAGCAAAGCCCAATTTATGTTAAGGCAATAAAAGCAGGAAATGAAAACATACTTGCAGTGTCTAGGAAGGCGTATGCAACTCCAGGCTTTGACGGTAAAACCCTTCCAATCTCCCAGGTGTGGCATTTTTGTGTTTATAATACATGTTTCCTGAGCATGCCACTCGCTATGGCTATGCTCTGGACATGCATTGCAGTACTCCTGGACCAGTGCAAGAGTCACATCTTAATGATGTCATTCCTTTGGCACAGGACACTGTGGCAAGTCAGCTTTGAAATCATAGTATTTACTTCTGCATCTCATTAAAGGCTGTTCCTTTTTAAACACATCATCCTTTTTATCTTGCTGTAGGAAATATTTCTTGCATAGGCACCAGCATACCTATCATTTTTTGATAGATGGGGTAAAGTCTGGCAAAGGTGATCAGACCAGGGAGAGGTGTCAAGAAAAAATAGATATCCTTATGCTATGGCCCTGAGGTAGTTTCTTCTAGCTCCACTGTACCTCAGTATTGTCAGCGTAAAACCATGTTCAATATTTCATAATTTCAGAGAAGGGACACTGTAACACTCACAATCCAATTGTTTGGTTGCTGCAAAATGTTTGTCTGCTGATGCTAAGACTAGTAGGCTATAGGCTGCACAAATATATATTATACATATTCTTATTAGTTTAACTAAAATCTCTTAAAGAAAATACAATAGAATGAAAAGATTAAATCTGATAAAGTAAATATTTGGATGCATTTTTGTCAAATGACAAGAGTGTTCAGGTAGCACGTGGGTTCTCCCTGGGGGCCAGTAGTGTTGGGGTCATCCTCAGGTTCTCTAGATTTTGTCCCACCGTGAGCAGGGCAGGTTGGGGCACTGGGGGATCTCCAAGTGAGCACTGGGCAGATGTAAGTGGACCTGGCTGGCTAGGAAAGTGGGGAGCTGGAGCTGCAGCCTTGCTAGGATGGGCTGATGGTGCCAGCAGCTGACGTCTGGGCCTGGACCTCTGCAAGTGGGGGGATGATGATCATAATTCATGTTCTCTTTATAATTTTTTTTTTTTTTTGAAAATACAACAAATGGGTACCAAAGAAATGGTTCTTCATGTATTTAAAAAGTCTCACTCTCAGTAAAGTTTTACAGAAATCTTATGAGAGTGAGTATGGTATTGGGATATTAAAGTGTTGAATTATTTCTTGTGAGTATTGAACTTTTTTTGCAAAGCCCATGTTTGATTTTATTTTTTTTAGTGAACAAAGACAGTAAAGAATTGTAGCACATCATTGTTTCTTTGCCAAGATTGAAGATGAGACTGCAAAATATTTTTACATGCATTGAGTCCACAGCTGAATTTCTTGCTGTTTGTTAGCTAAGATATTATGTGGAATGCAGACACGTCCATGTATGGCTTACAGGTAGGCTGTCCTACACAATGAGACTTTGCAAGCTCAGAATTATTAAGTGCTAGCATAATTTTAAGTTAACTGCATTCTGAGAACTTGTTGCAATATATGGAGACGTGAAAAATGAAAAATGCATTTTTTCCTTCAAGACATACACTTAGCTAATAAGGATTTAGAAAGATAACCATATAGCTAGAAGTTTAGACAAGCATAAAAAGAAAGAAAAGCACTAATATAGTAATGTTACATTTCTGTTGCAAATGTTGTTCAGTCAAGTTCTTACCAGGTGACTGTTTCTTATATGAAGTTTGTTTCACAGGTTCAGCAAAAGTAAAGGGCAGTTGTAGCAGAATTGTGAAGGATGCATGTAGGCACTGTATATTCCTACCTTGGTGCCCTTTTGTAATGTGCCACTTAACAGTGTGCCAGTTTATTTATCCTTCACCAGTGACGAGTTTATTTTGCTACATCAGACAGAATGAGATTTAAAAAAGTCTATCATAAACAGTGTGCTAGCACTTGAAAAAGTATAGTGTTATGGGACTAGTGTCTGGAGGGTTTGTTTGTGCTTCTTGCTTCTAGACAAAGTTTTGGTAGATACATCAAATCATACTGAAGATGTAAAGAAGCCTTTGTAGATAGTAATTTCATTAGTTTGATGTTTTGTAAGAGTTTAAAGAGAGGCCTTTTTTAAAACATAAGCAAAGATAGTGACTTTTGTAAGCTGTAACTGATAACATTTCACCTTTCCTCTGCTTTATCTAAAGCACTCCTGTTTTTAAGTATCTTCAGAATAAAGTTTTCTAGATTTGGCATTACCTGGTTTTGATTGTATGTAAGAGGCCTTACACAAAATTTTCAAACAGGCAATAATTTGAATGA